GCCAAAGACCCCCAGAAGCTTCTCACTCATCACTCCCGGCACGCCTTCAGCTCCTTGGTGGAGGGGCTGCTGGAAAGTCTAGGTTTCTCCCGTCCATGGTCGCGCTGCCCCCCAGCTTGCGCTCTGAGCCATCCCTCCCTGACGGCGAATTCAACAGGAAAGGCCGCGACATGAGCCGGCCCGCGGCCATCTGCCGCCCCAGCGTCCGGGGGACCCCGCTCTGCCGCCACGCCACGTGACTCTGCCGCCCCCTGCGGCCGCAGGCCCGTGCCTCTCCTCTCTCGCGTGTCTGGACTCTCAGAGCTTGAGGACTCAGGTATGTGATCCGACCACACCGCCCCTCCTCCTCCAGCGGTCCGCAGCATCCCGCCTTTCCCGCACCGCGCGGAGCGAGTCTCGGGGAGAGTGGGGGAGGGGCGCTGGGGACTGGGAGAGCCCTGGGAGTTCCCACAATGACTGCCAGGCCAGACCTACTCTGGGGTGCTTGACTGCAAGACCATGCCTGGGACCCAGAAACTCAGCCTGGCAGGGAGACTGCCTTGCAGGAGTGTCCCCTCGGTGACACTCGGTGAGCCTAGTACTGGGGGGTGACCATCTGGGAGGGGCGGCCTGCACAACCTCTCCAAGGCCCGAGGTGAGGTGGTCTTTGAGAGAGGTACCACTTAATCCTGACCATTGTTGGTCATGTGACCTTGTCCGCCTTTCTGGTCACCTGATCTGGATCTGCTCCCATTGGCTTGGTACGGTTTTACCCCCTGGAAGCTGTCTTCGTTTATTTCCCCAACAACCTCTAACTAAAAACCTGGGTCAGCCTGCTGGCCTAGACCAACCTCTCCACTGAGGTCCTGACCCATATCCCAACTTCTCAACTGCCAGACTTGCCACAAACACCTTAAAGCCCACAGGCCTCAAACTGAATGAGCACTGGACCCCTTGGTCAACCCCCATCTCAGCTTTCTCCTTTCAGAGCTTGGCACCTGCATCTTCCAGGCCCCCAGCTCTGCATGCTGAAGTCGTCTTTCTCTCCTTCCTCTCTTGCTCATTTGTTTAGGTCCGTGGTCGGCAAACTGCGGCTCTCAAGCCACATGTGGCTTTTTGGCCCCTTGAGTGTGGCTCTTCCTAAGCCTTAGGAGTACCCTAATTAAGTTAATAACAATATACCCACCTATATAGTTTAAGTTTAAAAAATTTGGCTCTCAAAAGAAATTTCAATTGTTGTACTGTTGATATTTGGCTCTGTTGACTAATGAGTTTGCCGACCACTGGTTTAGGTGATAAGTACATTGCAAATGCCCTCCTCCACCCACCACAGGACCCCAGTCTGGGGGTTTTCTAGCGGGGAGTCCATGCTGCTCCCCTGCTCTGGCGAGGCTTGGCGGAAGAGCTCTTTGAGCTACAGCTCCTGGACTTCGCTGCAGGCACTGGCTCTGCAGCCCAGCCCACAACGCACATGAACACTGATGCTGGGGCTCCTGGGCTGGGCCACCTCCAGCCACAGGGACTGCAAGAGGCTCCCTGCAGCCAGACACGTGTGAGGACTCCTTACTCTTTGTGCTGAGGCCCCAAAACACACGTAAGGAGTTGGATCCTCCTGGCATAGCAGGTTCTGCAAAGGTGTGAGCGTCCTGCATGGGTATCAGCCTGTGGGGCCACCACTGCAAAAGCATCCTTGAGACAAGTTAAGAGCAATAAGAAAATAGATCTGTACCCACATTTCTATTATCCATTCAAGCTGTTGTTATTTAGTGAACTCAGAGTTTTCTTTGTCAACAAAGTGATTCACAAATAAGAATTTTCAAGGCCTTTGTTGAGGAAACATCTCTGTATTTGAACAGTCACCATGCCTGTAGATTCAACAAGCCAACGTGGGCAGGCAGGGGTGGCATGAGCCAGGGTGCTCCCAAGCTGGGCCCAAAAGGGTAGGAAGAGAGAGGGCTAGTGTCTGGGCAGCGAGGATGGGTTTCCTAGAGGAGGCGACTGTCCTCCCAGCGCAGGGCTGCTGCTCAGAGTAGCTTCTTGTCTTCCTGAAGTCCAGAGAGTGGACACCCTTTGCAGAAGAGGTCCCCACGCCCGAGTGTGAGGCCCAGCCTGCAGGGCTGGCCTGAGTGGGCATCACGATGCCTGCAGGTGGGTGATGTCAAGATGGTCTGGTCCCAAGATGTCAGCTGAGAGCCCCTCCTGGGATTATTGCAGGTATTGCCTCTCCCTGGTAGGAAACAGCATATCCTCCCACCACCAACTCCCTCCCGACCCTGACCGGCATTCTGTAGCACCTGGGGTCTCAGGGAGGCGGGTGGGACAGTGAGCCTGAGCTCCAAATAGTGTCTAGGACAGTGATGGCGAACTTATGACACGCGTGTCAGAGGTGACACGTGAACTCATTCTTTTGGTTGATTTTTCTTTGTTAAATGGCATTTAAATATATAAAATAAATATCAAAAATATAAGTCTATGTTTTACTATGGTTGCAAATATAAAAAAATTTCTATATGTGACACGGCACCAGAGTTAAGTTAGGGTTTTTCAAAATGCTGACATGCCGAGCTCAAAAGGTTCGCCATCACTGGTCTAGGAGGCTCAGATGAGCTTGCCTTTTCAGTTCCTACACCAGGTGGGGGCCACCCTCTGCTGCACTCCCCACCAAGCAGCTCAGGGAAGGCAAGCCCTCCCTCCAAGTCCATAGCCCATAAGGAGCCCCAGTTTCCCAAGACTCAAAGCTGCTTTTACCCCTGACCAAGGCATACCCACCCAACCCCCCACCCCCACCCCCTACGCCAGCACTGGGAGGTATAGCTTTCTGGCCAGTTCTGCTCCAAGCTGTGCTTGCCTGCTTTTCGGGTTCCTCATAAAGCATGAGTAACCTGGTCAGTGTCCATGGTGGCAACTGCCTCACCCAGTGCGCCCCAGAAAAGACTGCTAGGGAGGAAAGAAGAGGGAACAGAAGCAGAGGAGCCCTCTTCCTTCGCCTCCATCTACTCCTTACAAGTTGGCTCCTTATCTTGCCATTCAACAACTATTTCCTTAACATCGATTTCATGCTGGGTTTGGGGGTCCAGAGATATGTACACACAGCGCCTGTCCTTAGGAAGCGCCGGGTGGGGATGGGAAGAAGGCACAGGCAAGCCAACAGTTACAACACAGGGTGATGAGGGCTGCAGTGGGCGGAGGTCAGGACACTGAGATTCCAAAAGGCCGGGAGACCTCTACGCTGAGCCCCCTTGTAGGTACACGAATAGCAGGACAAGAGGGGGAGAGCCTGTCATTACTAGACAAAAGGCAGTCTCCAGAAGCAGGGAATCTGCCAGTGGTTTGAGGGAAGGTGGGGGGACTTTCCCACCGTGGAGTCTGGGCTGTGTTGGAGGCTTCACGCAGCTGGGGGGGGGGGGGGGGTTGGGGGTGGGAAACTGGCTTTCAGCAGGGTTTGCTTCTAGGAAATTGATCTGGCTGCAGTAGGCTTGGAGGCAGGCCCAGATTCCAGGCAGGGCTCTGCCTCTTACCAGCTGTGTGCCCCTGGGCAAATGATTTCCCCCTCAGAACCTCAGTGTCTTCATCTGTAAAATGCAGAGAGCAGTTGGAAACAAGATAAATATTTATATAAAGCACCTGGAACATAACTGGCAGGGGGAGGGAGGACGGCTGTGAAGCTGCCCTGCCACCTGACCTGGGCCTTCCAGTCTCCTTTCTTGTCCCCCAGAACATTCGTGACCATTGTTTATCAGGGAAAGAGCACGTGGAGAAGCTAACAAAGTGCCAGGAAGCAGGCGGGTGGGGCAGGGCGGGGAGGGAAGGAGCATGGGTACATTCTCAGGGCTCCCGGGGTACCAGCCAGGAGAGCCCCTGCAGGGAATGGGCCAGGGGCCAATTCCTTTCCCTGGGCTGAGACCCTCAACCTCCAGAGTTGCTTCCTATACTGCCCACGCCATTCTTCTTTTTCTTTCTCCAGAGAGGAAGGGAGAGGGAGAGACAGAGACAGAAACATCAATGATGAGAGAGAATCACTGCTCCGCTGCCTCCCCCACGCCCCCCACTGGGGATGGAGCCTGCAACCCGGGCATGTGCCCTTGACCAGGATGGAACCCCGGACCCTTGAGTCCGCAGGCCAAGGCTTTACCCACTGAGCCAAACGAGCTAGGGCTGCCCCTGCCATTCTTAACCTGCGGGTAATTGCCAGCACTTGAGACAGTGTGACTAGAGAGGGGACTGGTAAGCACCCGGAGCCCCATCACGCGCCATCTATGTTCTTCCAGGCCCTACAGAGCTAGCTGCCCAGCGCTCATCCGCGCAGCCATGGAGGCCCTGGGTCCTGGGGGCGACCGCGTCTCCCCCGCCTCATCCACGCGCAGCCTGGACCTGCGGCGGCTGTCGGTGCGCGCCGACTCGGCCTTACAGCTCCTTCTCCGGCAGGCCTCGGGCGGCGCCGAGGCCGCGCACGGCCGTCCCCCGGAGCCCCGACCTTTCTTCCCCTACCTAGACTGGGACTACGGTGCGCGGTGGTGTGGGGGCGGGCCCGGCCCCCCACCCTCGGGCCGCCCGCCGCCGCCCTGCGCGCCTTCCCCCTTCAGCCCCGGCGCCGCCGTGCGCAACGGGCTGCGCGCCCCGCAAGTCCAGGGGCGGCCGGAGCCGCTCAGCAGGCAGGCCACCCCGCTGCTGTACGCGCTGGCGGCCGAAGCGAAGGCCGCAGCGCGGGCCGCCGAACCGCCCAGTCCGCCGGCCTCGAGGGCCGCCTACCGACAGCGGCTGCAAGGCGCTCAGCGGCGAGTCCTCCGGGAGACGTCCTTCCAGCGCAAGGAGCTCCGCATGAGTCTGCCCGCCCGCCTGCGGCCCGCGACCCCGAGGCGGCCCCCGGCGGCGCACCCGCGCTCCGCCTCGCTCGGCAACCCGGGCGGGGAAAGGGGGCCGGCGCGCTCAGGGGCTCCCGCGCCTGGAACAGCGGGCCCGGGCCGCCTCGCCAACCAGCAGCAGCAGTGGTGCTTCTCGGAGCCAGGGAAGCTGGATGGCCTGGGTCGGGGCGTTGGGATGGCGGGGGAATGCTCGGGTGGGGCCTGCTCCGGCTTTGGCTTCGCCAGGCCTGAGACCCAGGAATTGCAGCATCAGGCGGTGGCGGAGTTCGAAGGTCACCAGATCAGATGGCTGAGAGGCACAGAGGACCGCGAACCCCTGTCCTTGAAGCTCCACGACGACGTCTACAGGCCTGCTCGGAGTCAGAGCGCGTCAGGGGAAGCTTTGGGTGCCTGGGGAGGCCCAGGAGGGGCCGTGCCCATCGTCCAGGTTGGGAAGAGAAGGGCTGCGGGCTCGGGGTGGGGCACAGCTGGGAGACCGAAAACTTGAGCCACATTACATCTAACCTGTTTGCCTTTCCAGGCTGTTCCTCAAGGAGCAGAACCCAGACCCTTGTTTCAGACCACACATTCCAGGTGAGAGACATGGATCACTCTTGGGAGGAGGCAGCTCTCATAGCTCTTGCCCCAGAAAAGAGACGGCCTCCCACCTACCCTCAGTCTGAGCCTCGGGGGCTCTGTATTTAGCAAACCAAATCCCCAACTACCCCCCTCACCCCCTCAGCCAATCCCCATCCCCAACACTTTACTGTCTCTCTGGTGCAGACCAAGAGTTTCCTTCCTGGTCACTGTGGGGTCTCTGCCTTCAGGTTCCTGACTCAGAAGGAAGCTGCAGTGGTGTGTCCTGCAGAGGGTCCCCAGAGCAGGCCCATTGACTGTGAGCTCAGAGTCCCAGAGACCCACATTGTGTGTGCCCGGCTCCCTTCCCTTCCTGATGATGATGTCTTCCTGGAAGAAGTCCCGCTGGTCAGAATGAGAGCACCTCCAGACTCCCATGCCCCGCCGGGGCTCCCAGCCAGGTGAATTCTCTCTCGCTTCCAAGCAGAGTGAGACATCCCTTCACATACATAGCCAAACAAGGCCAGAGGGGCCGGGAACCCGCCCCTAGCTGGAGCCTGGGAGTCTGGGTGATGGGGTGGTGGCAGGTGGCCCTTGGAGACCACCACTGGTCTTCAGCCATAACTTTTTCTGATTCAGTGTTTCTTCCATTTCCAGTGTCCATGCCTCTGACCCACAACATGGAGCTGGCTTGGGCCAAAGGCCTGGCAGGGCTACAGTTTGCCCAGAGCACCCCCTACGTGAGTGCCTAGAGACTGCAGGGACAGGTGACTGCTGGCCCACATGCTGTCGTTCCGCTGGGACTGCAAATGGTGATGTCCCAACCCACGACTCCACTGGACTGCTGACGACGGACTTCCCTGCAGCTGTGGAGTGTGACTCCCTCAAACCTCTCCCAGTCGATGCCCTGGGACCTCCAGGCAGTGACACCCAAGGGCCTCCCGATGACACTGCCTGGGCTTGGGGCCCTGTCCAGCCTGGTTCTAAGCCGACATGGCCAAGTCCACGCCTGGAGCAGCTGGCTCAGGAGCTTGCCAGACTGGATCCCTCTCTGAGTGACACTCTCACATCCTATCCCAGCCCAGAGCCACCTCTGGATCTGCTGGATGGGCTGATTCCTTTAGCTGAGGTCTGGGCTGCAATGAGACCAGCCGGTGGCAAGGCTGGAGAGGAGGCTGCTGGTATTTCTGAGCCAGGGTGAGTGAGGGGCACCAGGGACTCGGGGATTCTAAGCCCCTGCAGTCGGGCAGGACAACCCAGGGAGCTCCCTTTATCCCCGTGTCCCATCTATCTAGTTCCACCCAGGTCCTGCCAACTTCTCAGGAGGAAGCAAGGCCTGAAAACCTTACCCCTCCCCCTGTGTCTGACCAGCCATGTAGCCAGGGTCTGCCTGAGCCAAAAAGCAGCATCCAAGCTAAGAAAGTGAGTGTGGTGGGGTGGCTGGAAGCTGGGTGGGACAAGAGACCTGAGTTTGGCCTGAGATGTCCGGGGCCTGGCCGCAGCCTTCAGTAGCCACGCCTTCCCTGCAGGTGGAGCTCGCGGACCTCCTGCAAAAGATGCTGCGGAGCCTTCAAGCGGAGCAGGAGCAGCTGCAGGGGACAGCCCAGACCTGGGCCAGGCGTGGGGCTGCGCTGGAGGCCGCGGTAGGCCAGGCCTGTGCACCCCGCGAGCTAGAGCGGTTCAGCCGATTCATGGCCGACCTAGAGCGTGTGCTTGGCCTCCTGCTGCTACTGGGCAGTCGCCTGGCTCGCGTGCGCCGTGCCCTGGCTCGAACGGGAGCACAGGGCGACCCCGAGGAGCAGGTAAAGGGGTTCTGGCTGCAGGAGAGCAGGGCGGTGGGCGAAGTGCACTCCCCCCCCCCCCTCCCCGCTCACCTACCCTCTGCCTGCG